GTTGGTTTTTTTGGTCTTGACGCAGCCAGAGTAAGTAGAAAGCAGACGTTTGTACCAGACAGAGCAGAGATGTAGTTTCCTTCTGTTATTTGGAGCAGAGTTTCCTTCAAACTTCTAAAAATTCCTAAAAGCAAAAACCCAAAAACCCACCCCCCATGACCCGCCCTTCTGTTTAAGGGCACCTGCTCCCGTTCCTCCAAGACTGCAGTGTTACGAACATGGAAGAAACGACCACCGATGCCAGCAGGAGCCGCAGTGGCCCAGAGCTGCCCGACGAACTCTGCTGCATCGGCTTGTTGTCCAGCTTCAAATCAGGTAGGTGGCAGGGCTGAGAAGACCCCAGAAACCTGCGAAAGGCCTGATGAAGATGGCCCCAGATCATCGTAGGGTCAGGCATGAAGCCACTGAGCCAGCTCCAACATCTGATCACAGCGTTTCCAGAGCAAAGATTCTTTGGATTGTGTGCTACGGTGGTGAGGTTTTGAGCAACCACCCCGGCATTGGCCATGATGGTTCCGTGTCACCTTGAAGACCGAGGTGCTTGTGGACCAAGTGCTCCATGCGCTTGAGATCTGTCAAAACTTGCTGGCCGTTGTCCATGGATGGATGTGCCAAATACTGCTTGCAGGATTCCTTCATGTCATCATTTGTGACTTGAAGTAGCTTGGACTGGGCTGAGTTGAGGTCCATCTTCCCAGTCTCTGCATTCATATGAAAAAAGCTGCGTCAGAGCCAAAGAAGAACTCGGTGCCTCCGGGAGCTCTGCAGCCAAAAACCCATCCCCTTTGATCTGGGGGATGTCGCTCTTGCACCTCCAAGGTCCATACCCCACCGGAACCGGAGGAGAAGAGCTCGTACTTGAGCCTAAAGAGATAACAGCCGGATTGCATGTAGCCCACCAATCAGACTGTGAACCCCAAGCAAGTGAATGAATGTGATCAAACTTGCCAGCCCCAGCTTCCTCTTCCAAGACACGCAAATGAGCAGACGTGTCATCATCAAGCTGAGAGGCGCTACCCACACGACTGGGTTGGTGCAGCAGGGTCTGTCTTTCTGCGTTTGGCCTCTTCAACGAGCTCCTCCTGTGGCCTCTTGAGCATGACCTGCAGTTGAGCCTTTTGATCTTCCGTGAGGTCAACGCCGAAAGCGCTGATGAAGCCAGCAACCGCTTCTGGGACTGGGTCCTTCATTTCAGCATCGTCCTGCAGCACAACGTGCGGTGCCTGAGCATTGACCATGGCCATGTAGGCGGCACGTCTGATTGAGATCTTTCTGCTCCTCTTCAATCTTGGATTGAAGAAGCTTCATGTCTTCCAAAAGTTCCTGGAAGGTCTTTGTGGTTGCGTCGATCTTGTTCTGGAGGTTGTGGCGCCGCTGTGAGAGGTCTTTGAGCGCCGTCAGATGATTCTTCAACCGACCCGCAACATCTTTCTCTGACCCCGGTGGTGCTCTTGATGAGCAACTCAAATCCAAGTTGAGATTCCCAAGCCGGAGCCAGAACTTGAGCTGCTTCTCTTTGGATCTTCGAAGGCTTGAGAGGTTTGGCTTGTGATAAACCTGGTGGAGGGGATGGAGATGATCGAGACCTGGTCCATCTGCTGTGAGTTCGATGCATGGGAACCCAAGAAGTAAAGCCTCCAAAGGGTTTGGGCCACGCAGTCCCGCACTTCCGACATGAGGATCCTTCTTTAATGCGGTCACTCCAAATCCAGTTCTTGCATGAACACACCTGGTATGCCCTGCTCAGGGAGGATTTCCATGTGACGTTCGTCATGATCTCCAGGGCTCCGATCGCGAGAACTGCCAGTTGCCTCCGTTCTTCACAAGAGTGTGGAGGTAGAAGGGTTCCAGTGCCCGTCAGGAAGTCGAGCCACACCGTCTCGAGCCGAAATCTTGAGCCTAGTGAATATATATGTATATAATATATATTGTATATATGAATATACACACACGTGTCGAAAAAATGGGTGAAATGTTGAAGCATGGAATCAGCATTTTTGTTCCGCAGAAAAACGGAAAAGGAAAAGGAAAGTGTGGTTATTTGGACTCGCCAGAAGTTGTTAAGTCCATTCCTTTGAGGAAAAGTTCCAACAAGTAGTTGAGATCAAAACAATCCCCAGTGCTGTGCGAGCACGGTACAAGTTGGTCAAATCAAGCATGCCAATTGGCCAAACACAAGGAAACAGCAAAGTCTTCTTGAGTAACGTGTCAAGCAAAAGTTCCGCCCACCCCTTCGCAAAAAGGCCCTCTGCAGTGCATTAGCCAGAGTGCTCGTCAGCCTTCCTGTCCATAGCTCAAACAACCATCATCCGCAGCGGGAATCCTTTCCATGCTATTCAGAGCAGACCAATGGCACAAAACAAAACGAATTCTATGTTGAACGGCGCCATGGGCCTATTCCATGATATGCTAAGCACATTGCTATGGCATGTTTCACCCTATACACGCAACAGCATTGAGCCAAAACGTGCTATGACAACAATGCAGGAGTACAAAGCATTTCAAGTCGCTTTTGTCGCCTTGCATAGCACTCATGTCATGCTATTAATCCAGGTCGTGGGAAAAAGTTGACCGAAGAGGCACAGCCGACGGCAGCACATTTGATCACTGGACCGTGCTGTAGGTAGGATCGGGGTATGATCAAGTTTGTTGCTGTTTGGAAGGGCCATGCAGCATCACGGCAACATGTGGAAACGCTTGCACTTTGGGCGCTTCAAGGGCCCTCCCAACCAACGGCTTGATGCTTAACGAAACAACTTGAAGCAATTTTCCCTCAAGAGATCACTTTGGCAAGGTCCGTCCATCCAGCCAACAGGCTGCCTCAAGCCCTTGTTGCTTCTCAGAACCAGACAAACACATTTGGGCGTGGCTTCAGGGCTCCATACTATACCCAAAGAAAGGTCACGGGCACATTGTGGGTCATGGTGCGACTTGAAACACTCAAACCGAAATGGCGCATGACTGCACAAAAAAACTAACGGGGAAAGGACATCACTGCCCGAAGGAGTTCAAGGGCTCCAGACTGGTCAAGGGAACCACACAAATCACGAGCCCCTATGCGTTGTGCGCTTCTCTCTTTGATCTTTTTGTCGCGTGGAGATAGCTCGAACTAAAGTAAGTTTTAGGCCAAGAATCACTTGTGCTCCTGGGGCTCAGCGGCTAAGCTGAGCATTGCCAGATTGATCTCTTTGTTGTCGTTCCTTCGGCAGTTTGCCTCAACAGGAGCACCCTTCTTGAAGCGATCTTGTAACCCTGGGCTGTGAGTCTGTGCATCGCATGGAAGAAACATAACAATCGCAAGTCTGAAAATCTCTGGAGGTCAAACAGGGTTCTTCATGGCCTCCAACCTAATTCCAATGGCCTCCAACCTACTAGCGATGGCCTCCAACCTAGTCAAAAAGGGTTCTTCGTTGAAAGCGACTATGGTCTGCTTTGCTGCGGTTCAATATCACTTCACCAGGCATTCGTCGAACTTCTTGTTCAGCTCTTCCCGATCCAAATTTTTTCCAATAAACACCATCTTGCACTGCCTGGAAATGCAAAGCTTAGACCAAACTGTTCAGTCGAAAAGGCACAGCACTAGCAAGTTGTCTATTCAGTTGTTCTATTCAGCAAGCTGGATGGTCTTCCAATGTCTGATCCATGAAGGCCGCAAACGTGTCCAAATTGGTAACATTGTATATAGCCCTTTTCTGTGCTAGTTCGAAACTGGCCCCCCTTGCCAAGTGATTCGCTCAGCTCTGATCCAATACAGGGACTACAGCACTTGGCTAGCATTGTTGTGAGAGTGTACCTTCCATGGAGGCCTCTTCTCACCTTCTCTCCATGGTTCTTGCGGCTTGCCACTGAACCTGAGTTGCTTGATGTTCTGCAAAATTCAAGGCCAGTGCGAAAATACTGCCCGACCATCATAGAATTCACTTCGTCGTACACAACATGTGATAGGTAGGAAACGGCATCCCACGGACGTTCTTCCACACACACCCCGTTGCAAAACTTACGGGCATGTGTGGACAGACTGTCCCCAACTTGCCAAACATACAGAAATGTTTCTTTTGGTGTACTTCCACCACGTCGAGTCGAACACCCCAAAGCCCGTAGACTCACCTCCTTCACAGACCTTCAACTAGCTTGTCAGCTGACTTTCGTCATTTCAGTTTCATGAAACGGATGTAGTTCTGAGTTGTTGCGAAAGCAAGTTCGTGTTTGTTGTGTTTGATTGTTTGGTTTGTTCCCGAAAGCATTGCGAAGGGCTCTTCCGGAAAATCCTTTGAACACTGACACTTCGACACTGACACTTCGACACTTACACTTACACACACACACACTGGAAGAGCGAAAGCATCCAAGTGCGAAGTATGCAAGTGTCAAAGTATGCAAGTCTAATGATGAGCATGCAAGCACGCAATGAGTATGCAAGTGTGATGAGTGAACATGGAAAACTAGCATGGAAAACTAGCACGGGAGATGTCCTAATGAAAAACATTTCCCCACTTTACAAATTCTCTCTTAAAGGCGGAGGGTGGGACGCACAGCGTCAACCGAAAACGCAACCCTCTGCGGAGATCGTGCGTGTCGAGTGCGCGAAATGCAGGCGAGAGTGCGATTCGCCCGGTGCGCGCGCAACCCTCTGCGGAGATCGTGCGTGTCGAGTGCGCGAAATGCAGGCGAGAGTGCGATTCGTCCGGTGCGCGCGCAACCCTCTGCGGAGATCGTGCGTGTCGAGTGAGCGAAATGCAGGCAAGAGCGCGATTTGTGAAATTACCGCGCAACCCTCTGCGGAGATCGTGCGCGTTGAGTGCGCGAAGTGCAGGCGAGGGCGCGATTTGTGAAATTAACGCGCAACCCTCTGCGGAGATCGCGCGCGTCGAGTGCGCGAAATGCAGGCGAGAGCGCGATTTGTGAAAGTACCGCGCAACCCTCTGCGGAGATTGTGCCTTTCTAGTACAACTTTAGTACGCGAAGCAATCTGTGGAGCTGGAAGATGAGAACTGGCGACTTTGTGGTACAACTTTAGTACGCGGAGTAGCCGGGGAGCTGGAAGACGAGAACTGGCGACTTGGTAGTACAACGTTAGTACGCGGAGTAGCTGGGGAGTGGGAAGATGAGAACTGGCGACTCTGCACTACAACTGTAGTACGCGGAGTAGCTGGGGAGCTGGAAGATGAGAACTGGCGACTTTGTAGTACAACTGTAGTACGCGGAGAGTTGGGGAGCTGGAAGCTGAGAACTGGCGACTTTGTAGTACAACTTTAGTACGCGGAGCAATCTGTGGAGCTGAAAGCTGAGAACTGGCGACTTTGTAGTAGAACTTTAGTACGCGGAGTAGCTGTGGAGCTGGAAGCTGAGAACTGGCGATTTTCTAGTACAACTTTAGTACGCGGAGCAAGCTGTGGAGCTGGAAGCTGAGAACTGGCGACTTTGTAGTACAACTTCAGTACACGGAGTAGCTGGGGAGCTGGAAGATGAGAACTGGCGACTTGGTAGTA